TGGTATATGTGCTCACTATAACATCACAAATAATCACAATACCATTGTAGGACAGAATGGGCCAATTGACATTACATGTTATGAGACACACCAAAAATAAAATTGTCAGATGAAGTTAATGTGGCTGATGCAGAGTGTGACATTAATGGATACATTAGGGAATACCATTAGATTTTATTTTCTTTCAAGAATGAGTAAGAGGACACTGTCAGAGACATACCTGGACTTATTAAGTGCATTGGCAAGGTGTTGCATAAAGAATCTATAGGTAGTATCGTAAAGAGGAAGGCATGGTCACTGTTGAAGATCATCCACAATCTGGTTGCAAGAGGAGCTTGCGGACAGAGATTAACACTACGATAAATTGAGATGTTACTTATGAAAAGATAGCTATCCCACTGTATAAATTAGCAAACAAGGGCAACAGGGGTATTGAACACATCAATGAATAGTTGGCAATGACTGGAAGATGCGTCTGATCTGCTTAAAATAGTTACCGAGGAATGATTAAATTAACATATTTATCTATTTTAGACGTTATTATTTAACTGACCTGCCTACCCTAAATACAGGTTACCATGGCAACCTTATTTCAAAGTTATTTAAAGATATAGCTAAAATATTTTAGCATCGTATGTGTAATTACATAATCTACATGTTCTGAAAAAAATGAAAGGGATATGTGAAAAAATCACAAAATGAGAGCATTTTTTATCAGAATATATGGATCGTCCCTTGTATGTTTGGTATTTTAATGAAGACGCAATTTACATATTTAGTCCCTCGCTTTTGTTACGTTGATGATCTTCATGATGAGCCACAACTTATTGTCCACAACTTGTCTTATAAGTGGTGTATAATCGAGAAATAAAAATATCTTATACTAGTACCGAAAACGAAGCCCGGAAATTTTTCCATCTTCACGCTAACGTATCGTCAGCGTAACTAGGTGAGTAACTGAGTACCAGTGACAATACTGATATTTTTATTTCTAGCTTGGTGATCTATCACCAAACACCCGACCTTACACTCTGTTTTAAACATTACAAGCCTGAAATTGACCTCGGAATACTGAAAAGTGATTTATTGGAAGCATTTCAATTGTTTTTCTTCTTTACTGTAATCTTAATCAAAAATGAGCTAAATTTTCAACATTTTCAACAAGTACCCATCAGCTGATCAAGATTATTCTTGACTATTTATGGTTACCTCGATCTTCTGCGAAATTGAAATATCGCCACGTGGGATCCTTGGAATACATTACATAAGATAAAGAGGGGCTCTGATAAATCCGAATGCATGCAATATTAAAGTCAATAACCCAGATGCGAGTAGAAATAATCTTGATTTACATCATCAAGAATTCAAAATTCGGTCAAAGTGATATCATATTTGAAATCTACAGGTAAAATTACACCTAGAAATGTGGTTTTAAAAAGTGTTTATTAACTTTGAAAATTTAATTTTCTTTGTAAATGTGATTTCTAGTTCGGGGAGATTCTCCATAGACCCCATGTTATAAAATCACAAAAAGTGAAATATCTATTCTTTTATTAGACAGAATATATTTTCTTTTACTGGATATATTCTTATTTGTATAACTATCAGATACATAAGGGTCATATGAAAATTAGACCACTGACACCGCTGAAAATTCAAGTTAAGGGAACTTTCTGCTATACCTGCCATGCTATCTGACCCAAATCAGCCACCTGGTGGTAACTACCTACCCGCATCAGAGTAATTGAATCCCCATGTTAAGTCAATGCCACCCTTTGACCTGAGAGCATTGCAGACTATTGGTCAATTTGAAATTAAATCCACATCCAACTGCTCATATTTAATGAGACCTTTAATATATTTATTTTCAAGTTTACTTGAAATATACTGAATAATACTTGAATATGATTTCATATTTGTATTCATTATGGTTTCATACATGACTGTAGCAAATTTGGGTCTTTGATACTTCCTAGAATTCATGATATTGGCAAAATCAAAATAAATTTACTGGTTTCAGTGATTCAAACATTTTCAACAGACATAATTGACTGTAATTGGCTGTTCTATCTTCCTTTTATACCCGGTTTTCCCCTTTAAGTTGAGCCAGTCTCAACAAGTAAATCCATGTGGGAGAGTATTGGTAGAATCCATTTTCAAAAGTAAGAATAAAGTTTCTTAACTGAACATTAAAGTTTCAGATACATACTAGGGGTAATATGAAAATTGATCCACTCGAACTGATGAATATTCAAGTTTAAGGTAACTTTTTATATACCTGCCGTATTATCTGACCAGAGTTAGCCACCTGGTTGTGAAACTGGTAACTTATTCGCATCTGAGTTATTGAGAATTTGACAATTCATCATCTTATACAGATATCTCAAATAACTTATATATCTGATCACATATCTCAAGCCTTTTTATGTCACCACCAAAAGTGGTGACATATTGTTATGGTCTCCGTTTTTTTGCGACGGCGGTTGGCGTCCGGCGGTTGGAGGTTGGCGTCCGGCGGTTGGAGGTTGGCGTCCGGCGTCTGTAACAATTTCTTACAACTTCCTATAACTTAACAAATACTGTTTAGACTGACTTCAATTTTTTTCTAAATCATCTACATGTTCTCAGAAGTTCAAATCTGTCTTTAGATTTGACATTTGACCTTCAATGACCTTCTCAAGGTCAAAAAGGTCTTTTTTCAACTTGCTTCACATTGACTAAATTTTTTTTCAAAATCATCTACATGTTCTCAGAAATTCAAATCTGACTTTAGATTTGACTTTAGATTTGACATTTGACCTTCAAATCTGACTTTAGATTTGACATTTGACCTTCAATGACCTTCTCAAGGTCAAAAAAGGTCAAAAAGGTCTGTTTTCAACTTGCTTCAAATTGACTAATTTTTTTTTCAAAATCATCTACGTGTTCTCAGAAATTCAAAGCTGACTTTAGATTTGACTTAAGATTTGACATTTGACCTTCAATGACCTTTTCAAGGTAAAAAAGGTAAAAAAGGTCTGTTTTCAACTTGCTTCAAATTGACTAAAAAAAATTTCAAAATCATCTACGTGTTCTCAGGAATTCAAATCTGACTTTAGATTTGACTTAAGATTTGACATTTGACCTTCAATGACCTTCTCAAAGTCAAAAAAGGTCAAAAGGGTATTTTTTCAACTTGCTTCAAATTGACTAAATTTTTTTTTCAAAATCATCTACATGTTCTCATGAATTCAAATCTGACTTTAGATTTGACATTTGACCTTCAATGACCTTCTCAAGGTCAAAAAGGTCTTTTTTCAACTTGCTTCAAATTGACTAATTTTTTTTTCAAAATCATCTACATGTTCTCAGAAATTCAAATCTGACTTTAGATTTGACATTTGACCTTTAATGACCTTCTCAAGGTCAAAAAAGGTCAAAAAGGTCTGTTTTCAACTTGCTTCAAATTGACTAAAATTTTTTTTCAAAATCATCTACGTGTTCTCAGAAATTCAAATCTGACTTAAGATTTGACTTAAGATTTGACATTTGACCTTCAATGACCTTCTCAAGGTCAAAAAAGGTCAAAAAGGTCTGTTTTCAACTTGCTTCAAATTGACTAAAAAAAATTATCATAATCATCTACGTGTTTTCAGGAATTCAAATCTGACTTTAGATTTGACTTAAGATTTGACATTTGACCTTCAATGACCTTCTCAAAGTCAAAAAAGGTCAAAAAGGTCTTTTTTCAACTTGCTTCAAATTGACTAAATCTTTTTTTCAAAATCATCTACATGTTCTCAGAAATTCAAATCTGACTTTAGATTTGACATTTGACCTTCAATGACCTTCTCAATGTCAAAAAAGGTCAAAAAGGTATTTTTTCATCTTGCTTCAAATTGACTAAATTTTTTTTTCAAAATCATCTACATGTTCTCAGAAATTCAAATATGACTTTAGATTTGACTTTAGATTTGACATTTGACCTTCAATGACCTTCTCAAGGTCAAAAAAGGTCTTTTTTCAACTTGCTTCAAATTGACTAATTTTTTTTTTCAAAATCATCTACATGTTCTCAGAAATTCAAATCTGACTTTAGATTTGACTTAAGATTTGACATTTGACCTTCAATGACCTTTTCAAGGTAAAAAAGGTAAAAAAGGTCTGTTTTCAACTAATTTTTTTTTCAAAATCATCTACATCTTTTCAGAAGTTCAAATTTGACTTTACAAGTTCTCAGAAGTTCAAATCTGACTTTAGATTTGACCTTTGACCTTCAATGACCTTCTCAAGGTCAAAAAGGTCTTTTTTCAACTTGCTTCAAATTGACTAATTTTTTTTCAAAATCATCTACATGTTCTCAGAAGTTCAAATCTGACTTTAGATTTGACATTTGACCTTCAATGACCACTTCAAGGTCAAAAAGGTCTTTTTTCAACTTGCTTCAAATTTACTTAATTTTTTTTCAAAATCATCTTCATGTTCTCAGAAGTTCAAATCTGACTTTACATTTGACCTTCAATGACCTTCTCAATGTCAAAAAAAGTCAAAGAGGTATTTTTTCAACTTGCTTCAAATTGACGAATTTTTTTTTCAAAATCATCTACATGTTCTAAGAAGTTCAAATCAAACCTTCTTAAGGTCAAAATGTATTTTCCAACTTGCTTTAAATTGACCAAATTGTTTTAGGTGGTGACATTTTGTCATGTTAATGCCTTGTTAAGAATGAAATTGTAAGGATAACATGAGCATGATTTTAATTGATTCCCATTTTATCTCACCATCCATTCTCATTTTTTACACTCAGTATTAGAAGCCTTCTAACTTCCTTAACGGTTAAGGAAGTTAGAAAATTGTTTTATTAGAATTCATGAACGGAAGAGAAATATATACATGATATAAGAAAAACTGGAAAAGTTGGCAAAAGGGAAGTTTCGATCAGTGAGATCTCCGGTTTATTCAGGCACTGTAAACAATCATTTTTTTATTCTGTAATGGTCTAATAAACAAAGAAATAAAAACGTAGATCAACGTGACATTTACAAACGGGCTTCACCGAACTAGTGGTAAACAGGAGGTAGGCCTAAACAACAACAGATACATTACATTAGATCTGTTACATCACATTTCAACATTTTACAATGGTTCTTGCCTGGTACTTTAATCCTTCTGATGAAGATAAGCGTTTGCCGCACAAGAAGGAACCAAATGTTCCGGTTAGTATCGAGGACCTTGAAAGAAAAACGGGCGTAAGGTGCTTGAAGGTAGGCAAAACGATTGAATTTTATTATTGCATTGTAGGCTACGTGTAAGCTGTCAGCAAGCATGAAGGAAAGGGAATCGGAAGATGTACACTGCATATACAATATGTGGGGATCTGGTTCGTGTACATACACGTTTGGCTCACATCCTCATTTGAACATGCCTCAAAAGAGGACTACGTTATCAGTTCACTCTGTTCCTTGATGTTCGTCACTGAAAATAATAACGTGAATCAACTTGTTGTATTCTTTCAGGTGGATCCTGAAGGATATCAAGGAAATGAAACCTACAGAACTCTGAGAAAGGAGCGATTGTATAAATATGAAGACTCGATTGATGTGACAGACAGAAAACCTGAATTTGACGAAATAGTAAATTACAATTTAAAAAATTGTGTTACACATAACTGCTATTAAGTCCAATATCCATCAAAAACTTAACCTAAACTAATGTATGTTAATCATAGTAGGCTATCTTTCATTGTAATATACAATATTCTTCAAATAGTACTTTCATAAGCAGGGGACAATCTTTGGTGGCGTCTGTGTGAATATGGAAAAGTTTAAAGTTGTCCATGCTTTTCAGTTAAAAACGTTCTACATAGAACACTTACACGCCGATGATGAAGTGAGATATACAGTCGGTGGGTCGGGATACTTTGATGTAAGAGACGAAGATGATGCTTGGATCAGAATCCATATTGAGTCAGGGGATCTGATCACCTTACCTGCTGGCATTTACCATCGCTTTGCATTGGACACAAAGGTACCTTTCTTGTATGTATAATCGGACTTGCTTCTTGTCTCAAGTTCCTAATTTCTAAATCTTGATATTATTACTGAAATCGTGTGAAAAAGAAAATGCCTAGAGGACAGACTATTAACTCGTACACTCCCTTTCAAAATTTGGGCAACCAGAAGTCCCATTTTGGACTAGCCTACTTGGTAAAGCCGATTGTAACAAATTAATCAGTTTTAAAGATATCTATCCCAGGGCCGTAGGGATATCTATCCATCGTGGAACAAAATTTAAACATAAAATATGCATTTACTCGCTATCCTATTGATACATCCTGTTGCCATAGTGAAGGGGTGTATTTTTAGTGGCCTTTGTATGTTCCAGAACCACAGCATTAAGTTAGTGAGGCTGTTTACAGAGGTACCAGTGTGGACACCATTTCCCAGACCAGCGGATAACCACCCAGCAAGACTCGCCTATATCAATTCACGGAAGCTTAAAGACACTGATGCTTAAAGGCCCCATATAGAGTGCAAACCACTTTGGTTTATATCATAGTCTTACTCAATGTTATCACAATGTGGAATAAAATTTACTCATGAGCACAAAAAAGCATTTTAAAATTTTAGTTGGGATGGGACATAAATACAGTACATAAAAATGATAAAATTCAAGTATTTGAAAATTATACGGTGAACAACTTTTATTCTCAAAAGTTACATTTTTTTAAAATGCCTCTCATAGTTTTTTTCAAATCATGATTTGTAATATTAGAATGACTAAACTATCTTTTTAAACTTTGCACGGAGCCTTTAAAGCATAAAAGGACTTACATTCGGTTTTATATTAATGCATGAGATACACATTAGGGAGTTTAAGCTTGCAATCTTTTTCACAACCTAAACGTGAACGGAAAATATGCATTTGTTCGAGCGATTGGTGATACGATAGGTTCCCTGTTTTCAACTTTGAAAGAGGTCTGGATCTTATCAACAACTACTAAGCTGTCTTTATCAAACCATACATAAGAACAATCCTATAAGCTATCATCAAAGAGGGTATAGTGAACCAATTAAACTCCTCTTTTAGACCAAATACAATCCAAGTTGAAGGACCTCGTCCATTATTCTATTACTCAGAACCTCTGGCACTATATAACTGCAAAAGGATTAGTCTGAATATATGCCCTTTTGGTCCCTCAGTTAAATGTATGTGAAATATGGTTTTTTATTACTGTCCTAGTTATATTTGATAAGAATATTTACCTTTTCATGAGTTTTGATGCATAATTAACCCCCTGCTGAGAGTCAAAATAAGTATCAAATAAACAAATAGTCATCATCATAGAAAAAAACACCAATGGCAACATATATGACATACAAAGTAGAAATAACTTAAAGACCCACGAAGAATATAAAAAATCATATTTTTGAAATAAACTTAAGGATTAAATTTTTTCAAATTTTTGAATTTCCCGCCAGTTTAATAACGCAGATGCGAGTAGGTAGTTTCCAGATTCATTTTCGTGGTTAAATTTTCATATAACCCTTATCACCCTATGCAGACAGAGCCTGTGGAAATATTGGGTGCGGAGCAAATGAGCGGAGGGTGCGGAGCTAACGGTCATTTTTGAATTTAAATTTGGGATATTTCTGAAACTAAGCCGTTTTGGGACTTCAAATATACCAAGATATGTGTATTTGACACCAAATATCAATACAATTGTGAAAATAGTAGCGCAATTCATTCTATAGCGACGCAGTGTGCCTTAAACCTTTCCCAGACCTATATATTTTGAAATTATCCTTTTAATACTGAGTCCCCAGCATTCATAAAAAATGGTGTTCAAGGTACACTATCTATACAAATTATTTTGCATCTTGGAAGCCAGGCAGTATCTGTGTGATTTTATAAAAATTCGGAAATGTTTTTCAGATATGAGCCCCCTCTAAATATTGGGTGCGGAGGAACTCCATAAACTATGTTATGTATCTAATAGTTATGCAAATTAAAATATGTCCAGTAAAAGAAAATTTTATCTGTCCAATACAAGAAAAGATAATCATGTTCACTTTCTGTGATTTTGTAACATGGGATCTATGGGGAATCAACCCGAACAAGAAGTCACATTTTCAAAAAAAAACTTACTTTTACATGCAGATTTCAAATATGACATCGTTTTGACTGAATTTTGAATATCTAATGACGTAAATAAAGATTATTTCTACTCGCATCTAGTCTATTTGAAGGGGGAAAAACAAGATGGCTGCCATTAGATGTAAGAAATATCAGAAAATGAGTTGCTTTACTTTTAATTTTCACAATTTCCCGGCTTATGTTTTTTGATTGATTCTGACTGTTCATTATAAAATTGAAACCAAAATGTTGTGCTCAGCATGACGATGTCTATACAAAGAAAGAAAGCAATGTTTCAAACTTTTTGTATAAATTATTCATTTAATATTTGCCATTGATTTTTTCAATTCTGGCAAAGTGATATGCATTGTCTTTGATGCCAATATTCTTCATCAATTGTGATACAAATTGATATTTTTGTAATCTCAGAAAAAGGATAAGATATTGAAGTTTAATAATATGTGTGATTGAGTTGGTTTTTGAGACATTACAATTTTGAATATTTTCTAAGTCGATACCCAGAATCATTCCCAGACTCATCCTTTGGTGTGTAGGCTGGGAAATAAAATATTTATACCGTTTTTTTTCAAGTGGCGTTTTTTGGCCCACCCTGTACTTATATATAACATCATAATTTTTACCATTTGACCATTTTACCATCAAGTTAAAATAAAAACAGGCAAACAAATTCGACACGCCCGTTTAATTAATTGTCCTCGTCCTGCCTTATGTCCCCGACGTACCTTACTACGGCGGAAATCGATCGTAATTTTGATGGTCTCAGCTGAAATTCAACGTATTCCTAATAAAAAATGATATCATGTTATTGTCACGTACTAATTACTCAAAGTAGGCCTAAAGCAGGTAATGTTACATGGGTTCTCGTGTCATGATCATAACTAAGCTTAACCATTTGCACACACAAGCACACCATATTGAAAGTACGTAGTTTAAGTACCTCATTGACGTTTAACAAATGAAAAATCACACATTAGCTATAGTGTTTTAAGTGCGTTTTCGTTATTTTTATGAAATAAATAAATAATGCATACATTGTTATTTTTATACTGAACATTAAAATCCATTTTATACATAGACCAACCAACGGGGTCCAAGAGTTTTTGGCTACCAAGTGTGCCCTGAGACTAACATAACATTTTATGTTAGTCTCAGGTGTATCTCAGGTAAGTCGTTCCGCCCTCGAAGAGAAACTTAGACCTTATGGACAGTTTGAAGATGCTTAGATTCTATACTACTGGCTGGTGGTGGAAAGTGGCTGGGTGTTAGTCTGAAGTTGGTGCTCCGTTTGATACTGCTGAGTCGACTATTGTGAAATACCACATAAAAACGCAATAAATTACTTACAGGGTGACCCCAAAAAATGCAACCCTCCATTTCTTAAATATTTTTCTTAAATGGGGGTAAGTTGCTCTGAGATTTGGCACACAAGGAATTCATTTAACGTGGGATCCTCTGACAACGTTTTAATAATCATAGTCTTATATTGATAGAGTTATGGCCGTTCCAAAATATTCTCCAATATGCTTTACATGCAACATCATTTCCGGAGAAAATAAATGTGAGTTTTTAGTTTCGGTTGAATTCCTTGTGTGCTAAATCTCAGAGCAATTTACCTCCATTTAAGAAAAATATTGAAGAAATGGAAGGTTGCATTTTTTGGGTCACCCTGTATCAATATGATCATGTTGTGTGGGCAGTGTTTGACGTGTAAATACTAAAACCCCATTACAGTCAGTACAGCGTGCTTTTTTATTGCATTGGAAACTACTTTCATGACAAAATTTAACTCAGGAGAATTAAATGCTCGACATCTTCTCCCTCTTTATGTGAAAGAAATAGACAACCAACCTGAAAAGCGAACGCCGTGTTTTGCCTATGGTATGTCGTTCGTGTTTTACCTGCAACATCATTTCCGGAGAAAATACATGTGAGTTTTTAGTTTCGGTTGTTTCAATCATTATAAGATGATTTATAGAGCTGATTATGGCTAAATTCTTTAATGTCCATTAATGTTGCTACATAGCATTCGACCATGGGCCGGCCAATGTGTGAATTTTGGCCGTGCGTAAAAGATATCGAGTGACTTCAATTTTTCAATAATTTTTATTTTATGAAATTTTCACTGATCTGAAGTTCGAACCACGGACAGGCCATAGGCTATGTCTATGTCAATAATCTGCAAAAGGCTAATAAGCCCATATAAAGCAGATATATAATTTAACAGTGATAGAATCAGGGCTGTCAACTTGGGACCACCTAATATGAGTGACTTCAAAATGTTGGACACCTAAGTCCAAATCTGAACACCTTTGGCCAACTTTTAAACACCTTTGGCCAAAGTTTGAGCACCTTTGCCAAACTATGATCACCTCAAATTTTTCGGGGGGGGGGGGGTAGGTACGAAAATTTCCAATGAACATGCGTGACATATACGGGATTCGCGTGACAAATCAGAACAAATTGCGTCCGGTTTTTTTCCCACGTTCGTATTTTTACCGTATCGTATTTCGAAAAAATTTCTACAGAAATATTTTTGCTTGACAATTACCAGGTAAAATGCGTATTTGCGTGACATTTTCTGTCACGCAAAATAAACTGGCGTGACTTCAAATTCTTCAGCAAATACGCAAATTGCGGGACAGTTGACAGGCCTGTAGAATAGAGGGAAAAGTAATAGTCTCTTCTATATACGGCTTACTATTACTTTAGCCATTGGACAGGCCCATAGCCAGGATTTGCCAAGGGGGTTCACTTTTCGAAAAATTCCAGGGGGGAGTTTACTTGTGACAATTTTGGTCCAAAAATGGGCAAAATCCCTTAAAAAGTGCTGAAAATGGTGAAAAACTGCATAATTTTGAACAACTTTTTGGCCAGGGGGGGTTGCTCGAACTCATCAAACCCCCCTGGCTACGGGCCAAATGGACGTCAAGTACCTTCTGTGAAACTTCACTTTTTTTAATAAGGGAGGATTGGTAACAGGAGTGATGCATAGGGACAATGGAGCTCTGTTCGAGAAGAAATTTCCAAGATGGTCTCTGAATTTCAAAATGGCCACCATTTTTCAGAAAAAAAAACGTTGATAACTCAAAGGAGCTCTGTTCAATGAGAAATTTTCAAGATGGACACTCTCAAAATGTTTTATTCGGTGGGATTTCCTACTCTTGGAGTTACTGTTTTTCTAGTTTGACAATGCAATATGCCTTGTTCTTTCAGGAGTTGCAGAGTTGAAGAAATTCAAAGATGTCCTCTTGTGGTGATGCTGGGGTTAAAGTTGTCATAATGCCAGGTAACGGTGCAGCAGCTGATGTTGAATATTGCAATTTCTATGCATGGCTCCGTGAAAAAATACATAAAGAAACTTCCGCTCGATGTATCTTGAAGAACATACCTGACCCTTATAAAGCAAGGGAAAAAATATGGATACCTTTCATGCATGATCAAATGAAATGTGATGAAAATTCGATAATTGTTGGACACAGTAGTGGTGCAGTTGCTGCTATGAGATACTGCGAAACATACAAAGTAAAAGGTGTCATTTTGGTGTCTGCGTACATCTCGGACCTTGGAGAACCAAGCGAGGCAGTCAGTGGTTATTTCTCACGTGATTGGAACTGGGACGCTATGAAAGAGAATTGTAACCTTTGGATTCAATTTGCATCAAAGGATGACCCACTTGTACCCATTGCTGAACAGCGTCAAGTAGCCGAGTCACTTGGAACAGAGTTTCATGAATTCACTGATAAAGGACACTTCATGGATGATGAGTTACCTGAATTGTTTGAAGTTTTAAAAAAACATGTCTAAATCTTGGAATGAGAATCTTCTTGTTCTTTACAATTGTCAAACACTTATATGTTTCATTTCCAATTGACCTTTCATCTACATGTATAGTATTCTAAATACAAAATGGTATACTTGGAAATGGATTTGTGATAAAAGATAATATTATTATTGAAAAGCAATGCAGCTTGCATTATTCAATATTACTTCAGACACATATCCACTAAATTCCATGTGTATCATATAATGTGTCCTTCTTAATGATGTCAAACATGCATGTGGATCACTATGGCAATCACAAAATTCTGTACATGTATATACGAGCCTATCATTTGGAATTACATGCACATGTTTTTAAACCACATGTTATACAATGTAGCCTTAGGTTGTAAGAGGTATAATCTGACATCAAACATATGTGAATATGCTTGACAGGTGATGGGATTTGGTAACATGAGGAGCAATAAATAATAAAAAATTACCAAAAATCAATGGTAGTTATTTGATTTAATTTTTTCGCCACTGACTATCCAATAACTAATCAATGATGGTCTCAGACAAGACCTGGATATGAGTTTTATCTTTGAATCATGGCAGTATTCGGGGACGTAGCCAGGATTAGTAGTGCTAGGATGCGATGCGAGGCTGTAGGTTGGAGCAAAATTAGGGGATCCGGGGGCATGCTCCTCCAACCTCCAGATTTATTTGGCACGTTCTGAACTATTCTAGGACCAAAATATATGATTTATTTCAAAATATTTTGTATTTTTGGGCCTATTTGGCACATTCTGAGAGATTCTAGGATCAAAATATGATTTATTTCAATTTACACCTGTCCATCCATCCAGGCAATAACTCCAATAACGTTGGCCCAATATCATTTACATTTTGTATGTATAGGCCCCATGTAAGTGGCCACCAGGTTCAGAATGGCCGCCATTTTAGTGTCAACTTTACTGTTTAAAAATGGCAGACATCTTGAAAAATGGTGGCTATTACACACTATTTTATGATTTTTGCTGTATCTGGTAAAATAATGGAGCGATTTTGTTCATATTTGATATGTGAATACTCATAAGCATGGTACACTGTCTTCTGCCACTCAGGCTAGTAGCATTTTAGCATTTTTATGAGTGTTAATTTACATTTTTTACTGTTACTTGAAAAGAAGTGGAGTGATTTTGTTGAAATCTCACATGTGAATAATCATAGGCATGATACACTTTCTAATGCCAATTTGGTAGTGAGCGGCCATTTTCTAAAATGGCCACCATTTTCATTTGGGTAATTATATTTTACATTGTTACAATATATGTGAATACAGTAAGCATACAATACCTTATGCCACTTTGGGTAGTGCCATTTTGAAAAATGGTGGCCATTTCTATGTGTTATTTTGCATGTTTTTGCTATAACTGAAAAATAGTAGGGTGATTTTGTTGGCTTATGGGCCATGTAAACCAGCATAGAATATGCAAATTAGATAGATACATATATGTATACATACATATATCTATGTATTCATGCATATATATATTATATGCCAGCACAGAATATGCAAATTAGATAAATACATACATTATTATATGTATTCATATATATGTATGATATATATACAAGCATGGAATATGTTAATTAGATAGACAAGATACATAACAATTAATTTATTAGTTGGCATAGTATATGTTAATTAAATAACAATAATTCATGAATATCTGAGATATCTATGAATATGCTTTAATTTATGAGATATATGTGTATTGTATACATGTTATATATGTATGTATTTGTATATATCTTCTAAGCTGGTCCCCAGTCCCCAGTTCCCAGTTTGAGATATCTATATGCTATATATAATATGTATGTATTTGTATGTATCTTTTAAGAAGGTCCCCAGTCCCCAGTTCCCAGTTTGAGATATTTATATGCTATATATAATATGTATGTATTTGTATGTATCTTTTTAAGAAGGTCCCCAGTCCCCAGTTCCCAGTTTGAGATATCTATGTTTGTGTATATATGTATTTGTATGTATCTTATAAGTTGGTCCCCAGTCCCCAGTTCCCATTTTGAGATATCTATGTCATATGTATGTATGTATCTTTTAAGCTGGTCCCCAGTTCCCAGTTTGAGATATCTATATGTAGGTATTTGTATTAAACATTGACAGAATATGAAATGAATATAACATCGTAACAAAAAAGTACAATTGTAAATCTAATATGTACGTGTATTAAACATTGACAGAATATGAAATTAATATTCACCTTTCCACAAACTAAGTAAAGAAAATCGATAATTTCCGGCGCGCTGATTGGTTGTATGCAAATGAGTCAAATCAATGATGTCAATGCCTGAAAGTTTTGAAGAATTAGTACAGCCAGCATAGGAATATTTTGAATTAACTGCAATAAAAAGGATTCTATTTGCCCAATGCACTAATTATTTTTAGTCAAATATGAAATATGGACGGGGCACTTTCATTCCGAATCTTATGTAATTTAATTTAATCATTTTTTTGACAGAGCTATTGTTTATTAAGACTTCTCAGATCAGCCTCACATACCCGGGCTCACATGTCTCGTGTGATTGTAAACAAAAAATGTAAATTGAGAAGTTAAAAAACGACTCGGTTAAATTATTTGATAGTGGTCATACAATATCCTGTTAAATGTTATGTCGTAGTAAGAAATTCCATCAGAAATTCACATAACATTCGCACAAAGCGTTACCTTTTGGTACTTATTCGCCATCAGTCAATAATGATCAGCAATGTCAACATATCATCAATAAACATTGTATGATATACGCTCTTTCTCTGAAATCTTCCCAGTGATCATTATTCAAAACCGATCATCACATAACTAATTTATCCTATGAAAAGTGAGGTTTTACAAGTGAAGTTTTCAGGACACCCTGCATATCCAGTTTTTTTTTCATTGATTTCATTTCAATTGACTGCTTCTACACTGAATAAAAAACATTTTCCCGGGAATATTTGGATGGGAGATACACAGCGGGAAATATACATTGGAATATATATAGAGATTATCCTATATGAGGTTCAGGATATTGGGATTATCCCGAGGCCAATATAATATATCTACCCGAGGGCCGCAGGTCCCGAGGGAAGATATATTATATTGGCCAAAATAATATGTTTATCCCATACTAATCTTGGTCATCATGTTCACATTGTTCAACTGTGGAAATATTTTAGAATATTCATGTCCAGTTTTGTTTTCTTGGCCGTGATATTCCCTTTTATTTATTTATTTTCTCGAATTTTTGATTGATTAAGTGGATGCACCTTCCCTTTTTTAAATCATCAAACAGATCCTGATTGTCTGTGTTTTCTCCATTGTCGTTTACAGCCATTACACGAACGTTACAAATTATGAACAAATGTGCGAGCGGCGATTATAACGTAGCGGGCAGATATACTATATCACTATATAAACTGGACATGAATATTCTAAATATTTCCACGATTGAACAATGTGAACCAGATGACCAAGATTGGTATGGGATAAACATATTATCCTATAGTCGGTTCAGGATATTGGGATTATCCTTGGCCAATATAATATATTTTCCCTCTGGAGCTAGCTGCGGCCCTCGGACAGATATATTATATTTACCTCGGGATAATCCAAATATCCTGAACCTCATATAGGATAATCTCTATATATGTCACGCTCCTCCAAGATATCAATTCTTTATCCCATACTTGGACGTGTTACGGGTACATAAAGCCGGTTTGTAAAAACTTATATTTTCATCAGCGGGCAGATATGGCTTTACGTCCCGCTCCAAGCGGTCAGATATATTATATCTGCCCGCTACGTCATAATCACTGTTCCCGTATTGGTTCCTTTTTGTAACGTTCGCATACTGTAAACCACAATGGAGAAAAACGCAGACAATTGTGATCTGTTTGATGCGTTAAAGAAGGGAAGGAGCAGTATACTCCATTAATAATCAAATATTTGAACAGGAAAAGAAACAAGAATACAAAACTGGACATTTTAAAATAATTCTACAGTTGGTTGCAAAGTTTCTGAACTTTGGCCAATTGAACAATGTGATTGGTATGGGATAAACAAATCATCCTATAGTCGGTTCAGGATATTTGGATTATCCCTTGGCCAATATTATATATCTGCCAGAGGGCCGTAATATCCTGAACCTCACATAGGATAATCTCTATATATCCCGATGTTTTCAAGTATGGTATTTTCAAGATATGATCTGATATGACTTGCAGAAATAAATAGGAAGTAATCGTTTAGTTGATTGAATCATTGAAGTAGTGAAGTCAATGATTTAATGAATTAGAGCAAATGTTTTTCATTTGAACAGGTCATTCATCAAATGACAACTGAAGATTAACTTAAAATAGATTGTCTATCTATATATTTATATGTATGAGAGACATGTTATAATGTTAGTGAACTGATGATTATGATAATTTCACCTGTTCACATCCAGTTCCTATCATGATTGAAAACTGACCGGAGTAATTCTCTTCACTATATTTACTCATTATGAACAGAAATTTAATATTTCAATCGCTTAGAAGGCGCAAATAAATGCCAATTTGACTTTCAATAAAAATCCGTCAATAATTTACTGATTACTTGCACATTTGAAGAGGTAAAACTTACAGCAATCAAACGAGGATTTACATGTAAACTCAATTGCATTTGTTTTTCGCGGGAAAAAGTTTCTCTCATTGACGTCACAGATTTCTAAAGCTACGTTCACACCAACGGCGAATGCCACGCTTTAAATCGGCGAGCAAAGCGCCGTCATTTTTGTCATTTTTCTTCATACCAACGGCGCTTTGATGGCGCTTTAAAGCGGCTTGTAAAGCGGCACCAAAGCGTAACAAAGCTTGATTAAAGCGTCGGGGTCGTAATAGGTCGTAAAAAAGCTCAGAGTAAAGCGGGATATTCGGCAAGAGCGCCAAAAAATTTGAAACTTTTTAAAAATTTTGGGTGCTCTGTTACGAATTGATTAAAGCACCGAGAGCGTATCAAAGCCCAACAAACCGTAACAAAGCTCAGAAAAGCTTGATCCAAAGCGTAGGAAAGCTTAACAGAGCTCTAATAGGTTCCTCACGCTTTGATCCCGCTTTGATCAGGCTTTGTTACGCTTGAAATCACGCTTTGATAAGCATTATTACGCTTGGATGCGATTATGACGCTTTAAATCAGGCTCTGATACGATTGCCAAGCTCTGTTGTGCATTGTTACGCTCTGTTAAGCTCTGTCACGCATTGGAAAATGTCGAGATCGCCAATTTCATGCCGCTTTTGATCCAATGACTATATAAAGATGCAGTAGATCCATAAAACCATTGCATCTTTGACTCGAGAACACGATGGCAGAACAACAAGATCCATAAATTCCAGATGAACCAGAGCATGACCTATCTGAATAAGACATGACGTTTGACGCACGGCATGAAATAGCGTGAGAGAGC